AGAGCAGCAATGAAATTGATTTTATTTTTCAAACAGAAAACCTCCCACGGCCTCGCTGGGTGCTCCCTGAAGGGACGCAGAGTCCCCAGGTGGGAGGACGGGGTGACGGATGGATCCACACCCAAACCCCGCTTGGCGCTCCCTTCACGCACGGAAATTCACGCTGGACTTTGGCTTCAGGACACAACGTTAAAGACGACCCCAAAACCTCATCACAAAGCACCCGCAGAGCGAAAGCGAAGAGCAGGGGCAGCACGAGCTCCCCGGCGCGCAGCACACCCCGGCACGGGCGCTCGGGCAAATGCCACCTGGATTTTCCCCTCCTGACAAATTCCAACCGCCTTCCTGGTGGCAGTCGATGCAGGATGCCTCGTTAATTGATAATCAAAGTTAATTAGTTTCCTAGGCGTTTCATTTCCTCCCATCATAGCACATTTCACCGAAAGCCGCGTAGCGAGCGGAGACGTACTGTTGCCACGAGACTTCTCGATGAAGGGCCCGTGGGGGGGCTCAGTAGCCTTCCTCTTGTACGTCTTCGTCACCCGGTCCACGTCTGGCTGTTTCCGTGTCATCTCCTCCATAAAAGACTGTCAAAACACAGAAGGGACATGAAAACATTTGCTGTTTCGAGCTGTTTTCTGTCTCCTGTTGCTCCAGATCCTCCCTGGGACATGCCAAGCCCGTAGCAGAGATGGGTGCGTTAAGCACTGGCCACGGGGGCTTGTGGTCAGGCTGCTGCTTGGGTCTGCAGACGCTGGAGTTCACCCCCCGGGGCTGGCTCTGCTCCCCGGTGACAGCTCCGCTTGGGTCACACGCTGTTTTAACAGGGACTTCCAAGAGAAGTCAATGCCTCTTCCATGGAGGGGCAGGAAAAGTCAACCCTGCCCCTCTCCCGAGTGCCCGCCGTGTTCGGCACCGGGCTCACCTGGTGTTCGGAGATGAGGGCTTTGACCTGCTCGATGTTTTGTGGCATGGCCTCCTGGTCCCGCTGGATCAGGGTCGTCTCAGCCCACTGGATCCAGGCCAGGAGCTCTTCCAGAAGCTCCGCGTTCGCCACCAGCTCGGAAAGCGCAGACTCCAGTCTCTGCTGGTGCTGCTTCGCCCACGTGAGAACCTGTCGGCAAGACAGAGATGACTGTCAGCCCAGCATGGGGAACCTGGGGCAGGAACCAACACCCCACGGCCATCCCTGGTGCTGTGGTGGCCACCACTGCCAACCACCATCAGCCTAGAACTCACCTCCTCGAACCTGGCTCGGATGATGGTGATCCAGTGTTTGACGGTGGTGATGCAGTCGGGATGGCAGGCGGCCAGGATGACCTCCCCCATGCCCACCGCCGCGTTCACGTCCGCTCTCTTCTCTTCCACTTTCTTCATGAACTCCTGAAAGGCCCAAGTGAATTATTTTACAATATCCTCCCCCCACAAATTCCCCTCGGGGCGGCGTTTCGGAGCTCC